GTAGGGAAATGGGGTGTTTTGGGGAAGTGGCCGTTGGGGAAGTTCACTGAATAACATAGATGGTGTTGAGCACCAGCAACAGCATCTGTTTTTTCATTTAAAATGTGAGTTCTGTGTTTTCCTCTGCATGAGTAACACCGTTTCTCTTTCCATAGTCTGCAGCATGCAGCCCACGGGGAAAGATCGGCTTGCCTGGGGCCTGTCAGGTATGTCTCTGGTGCAGGTTTTGTTTGAACCACACTCAGCCTCTGCCATGCATATGAATGATGGAGAAGAAACCGTTTGAACAGTCCTGTTGTGCTCTCACCGTTAGGCCCAAAGAAGCAAAGTGTAGTAAGGGCCAGACAGGAATTTTCTTCAGGACTAAGCTTTTGCTGGCTGGTTTCCCATCTCTCTTCCCATCAGACATTCAGGAACTCTCATGCCCCGAGTACAGCAGCAAAGCAGACAGTGGCAAAGCAGTGAGCTTCCTCTCCACCTGGCATGAGGCTTCTGTTTGCAAAATGACTGCCAATGCACACCTTGGAGCAGGCTCAGTCAAGGGTTCCTGGGGTTGAATATGTCAGAGTTGCAAAGCAGGTCCTCCAGGGTGCAGGTTTTGATATGAAACACTTGGAAGTTGATAAGAAAGTCTTCTATTGTACCTCTAGGCTTTAAATCAAACCAGAAGGGAGGAAGCATTTATGTGGTTACAAGACAGCCTGGTCACAGCTTAGGTGATGTTACAGCAAGTTTTCCATGCCCTGAGATCTCATGATGAGCTAATGCCAAGAAACAGTGACCAATCTGCCAACTACCCAAAAGTTCCATGCCCCATGTGCAGGTTTTATCAAGATGTACTGCCACACTGAAACTGTTCCCTACCCCAAAGATATCCTCTACACTTCTGTCCTGCACCAGATTGGACACAGCCAGTTAGTTTATGGTCCTCTAGAACTTTTTGCATTGACAACAAGGAAGAACTAAATGCCCTTGTGCCCCCTCCCAACTGCAGTATTCTGCAGTATTAGCTCCTTGGATGAGATATTGCTCCAGGTAGACGTTTTGCTGTGAGGACAGCAGGGCTACTGAGACCATCTGGCCTCCAAACACAAGGGCAACCCAAACTACAATTCCTCCACAGCAGGGGCATGCAGACCATAAATACAGATGGGTAACAGATCGTAAATAATTACAGCGAGGGTGGTGAAACAGTGGCACAGGTTGAGCAGAGAGGTGGTACATGCCCCATCCATGGAAGCATTCAGCGTCAGGTTGAATAAGGCTCTGAATAACCTGAACAACTAGTTGAAGATGTCCTTGCTTATGGCAGGGTGGTTGGACCAGGTCACCTTCAAAGGTCCCTTCCAACACAAACCATTCTATGATTTTATGACTGTATGATATACAAAGTGAAAGGACCTTCCAAGGCTCACCCAGTCCATCCTGCTGCTCAGAGCAGCTCTAGCCAAACACAAGTGGTGAGACACTGGCCCACATTGCCCAGAGAGGTGGCAGATGCCCCATCCCTGGAAATGGTCAAGGGCAGGCTGGATGGGCCTCTGAGCAACCTGATCTAGTTGAAGATGTCCTGGCTTACTGAAGGGAGTTTGGACCAGATGACCTTTAAAGATCTCTTCCAACCCAAAATGTTCTATGATTCTATTATTCTACGGGTTGTCTGTGGGGAGGTATCACATAGCATGGAAATCCAGGATGCTGTGGAGGGAGTCTCACCTTGAACCTGGCAGGCTGGGGTACTCAGATCAGGGGTGATCCTGCCATTTTAGCTACATGTGGGTCTGTAGATACAGATAGGGTTATGGATGGATGTGGCTGTCTATGCTGATTTTAATTTCATTTCAGATCTTTCATTTAAGATGATTACTAAAGTGCCTGGGGGGTTTTCTCTGAATGACATGTCTGCACTAGTCCCACTGAATTATATTGAATTTACCTGTTTCCCATTTCTCTTGAAGGGAGGGTGTGAAGTTGAGCCTTCTCATGTGCATTTTTAGAGATGAAACCAAGTGTAGCAAGGAGGAGCTACAACCTGCAGCACTAAGACACCTGGAAATTAAGACTTGTGAGAGAAGGTGGAAACAATGAAGGTGCTCACATGACACCCAGTCATATCAAATGTATCTGCAGCAACAAGGGCTGGATAGGAAAAACTATCACAGGACGCTTATAGTAGACATTGGGTAAATTTTCTAACAGTGACAATAGTGAGCCAACTGCCTGGGAAGGTGTGGATCCTCCATCCTTGGCGGTTTGGAAAAACAGGCTAGACAAATCTTATTAGGGAGTTAGTTGATAGGATTCTGCTCCAGACCTGAGAGATGAATTAGGTGCTCTCTTACAAAATCCTTTCTACATTGGTTCCTATACTTTAATTCCATGGTGTGTAGGAAGTGCTTATGTTCTGCAGCATGTCCATGTTTCCAGAAGCAAAGGAGGGTGATCATATGGTAGTCAGTCTCTACAGGGAGGTGAGACAGAGGCTAGGAAGGTAAGAGAAATTTGTGGGGCAAGAAAAGTTAGAAATCCAAACCTGAAAGTAACATTGGCAGGAAGGTGAGAAGAACAGGTTATGTTCAGAAGAAAGATGTTCACCAGAAGAAGCCTGTCCAGGATAGACCATGGACAAAAGTAATATGTGAATTTGTCATGTGGGTTTGTGGCAGAAAATGCCAGGGGTTTTCATAGAATCATTTCAGTTAGAAAAGACCCTTAGGATCATTAAGTCCAACTGTAAACATAATGCTACCATGTCCACCACTAAACCATGTTCCCAGGCACCACATCTACATGTCTTTCAAACACCTCCAAGGATGGCGACTCAACCAATTGGACAGCCTATTGCAGTGCTTGCCAACCCTTTCAGGGAAGAATTTTCTCTAATACCCAATATAAACGTTCCCTGGCACAACATGAGGCTGTTTCTTCTCGTCCTAAGAGCCCAAACATAAAGATATCTCATCAAAGCGTAAAACTAATCAGGTTTATGTTTCAGCTGTTTCATCTACAGCTGAAGAACCCAGGTCAGAAAGCTCTAGAAAAATTAAGAAAAGCAGCAAAGGTGTGACAAAGAGAGGAAAATATCAAAAGGTCTGTGGGTGAACAGTTTGTGTAGGAGATGCTGGGGAAAAGCCTTATACAGACCTAACTGGAGTTGAAATGGAAGAAGAGGAATTGTCATTCAAGGGAGAATGACAATGATGACTTTATGAACAGAGATTAGAACCAAGGATGAACCCTCTGATGCTGAGATCAGCTGTGATGGGCATAAGCATCATGTTCCCATGGGGAAACACTCAAGATGAAGCTGGAAGGACAGGGCGTGCCTGGGTCGAGGGCGAAGCTGACATGGCCTTGGGACAAGGCAAGTGCACTGCAGCTGCCAGCCCTCATCCCTTGCAGTTACCACAGCTCCAAGAAATGTCAGCATCATGATGAAGACTTCCCTCCCTGCAGCTGGGAAGCCAGCAAAGCACTTTCTGCAAAGGCAGACAAAAACAAGAACCAACCCATGCAGAGGCTTTTGCAATGCTGCTTCTGAGCTCAGAGGCACAGCTCACACTGGCAATCTAAATGAAACTGATGTGTCTCACCGAATGCCTCATTTGCAGACATCCTCGTCTGCAGACACCTTTTGACAAACTGTCTGTATTTATCTGAGATTCCCTAGGGGTCACTAATTCCATGGAAACACATTTGACTCAGGAAGCCCAGTCACTGAAGTAGCTGAGGCTGGCAGAGTAGTTCGGAGACAGGAGTATCATAGATGTTACTTCTGTTCTTCCTCAGGGATCTTCTCAGGTCCGCTGTCTAATTTTTTTTTTATGGTTTTGGGTTTTTCATCCAGGCTCCTACTCTCAGAAGAACATGGGTAGGGCACCCTGCAGCCAGCTCCAGGGAAGGGGCATCTCTTGGGTAAGGGTCAGCCACACACCAGCTGCAGAATCAAAAGGGGTTTGGAGTGACTGGAGAGGAGCAGAGCTGCCCCCATTGCATCTGCTGACATTGCTTGTAGCTGAGCAGAGAGGGGAAGCAGTGAGGCTCAAATCAAAGGAGAGACCTGAGGAAGAACATGGCCACATGCATGCTCTGGGTCATGGATGATATAGTCAGATGCATGTCACTGTGTCAGGTTGAAGCCCTGTACACAGGGTCCTTGTACTGCCCAGGTGCTCAGCTGGGTCCAGTCAGGCTGGTGGGAAGATTGGCGAGGAGGATAGTAAATACACCTAGGTGACTTACAGGTGGAGTGTCAAAAAACATAGATCATTCTAGCTGTTGTCTATCCTTGTGTGTTTGACAAGTAGAACTTCTGTGTTCAGATAACACAGGTCTGTGATAGACTCAGAGGCACCTTACTGAACATGCTTGAGATTCCTGCCCTGCTGTGGGAAAGATCAAAGTACAGTGGAAAACTATGTCTGCAAAAATCCCTGATACACAGACAAAAGCTTGTTTGCTCTCTAGCAAGGACAGAGCTCTGCAGTGCCTGCATCCCTGCTTGCATGCCTCTGCCTGATTGCTGCTGTGAAGACCCTCTGGTTCATGAGGTAACAAGAATTCCAATTCATCCATGGTTTTGTTATTGGTCCTGCCTGTGCCAGCTCACACACAGCCACAGTCCCCACTGCCCCCATGTTACCAGGACATAGCTCCAGAACCAGGCTGGAGTATCTGTCAGGCCCATAATAGCCATTTTTAACCACAATGTGCCTCTTTTTTCTTTTCTGTTAGAGGAGAGTCCTCACTAGGCTAGCATTTGGGCTATACTTTATCTGCAGTGGCAAGATGACATTTCAACAGTGAGGTCATCCATAGCCCATAAAAAAGCTGTAGAAGAATCAAACCCACCTATTTTCTGAGCTGATGCCTTGTTCTCCAGAGCACAGATTGGCAAAACCTGCCA